ATTACACTGTGAAGGATTAGCATTTAAATAGGCCATGTGGCTATCTTTTACAAAGCCCTGCCAGAAGGAAACAACTCCAAATCTAAAATCTTACAATCTGGCAATATTCCAGTATTCACTGTAAGGCCACATAATGGAGCGACTGTAGAGAGCTAATTGAATGGAACGTGCTTAAGGTAGATTTTAGATCTTTTGCTCTCAGCTGCAGTTTGAACAAATGATGCTCTATATCACAGTCCGTCAGTAATCATTGATTTGTTAAATGACATATTTGGCTCCAACCTGATGTGTTAATCAATCAATATTGTCTTTATTGTCCACAGTGTGGAAATTTGACTTTGGCTTCACAGACAGATTAAAAACCACATCATTAAAAATTAAGTAAAACATACACAGTACAGACCATAACGGACAGGATTGTTCCATCCAGAAAGTGACCTCAATTCATTGCGGATCCATTCAAACTAAATGATGCAGTTTTCCTTGAGTGAAATTTTTTATAGCAACTTCAGATAGAACATCAGCAAGGTACCCTGTGCCGTTTAGCACAAAAATGACAAGTTTAAGTGGAATCATTTGGTCTGCAATAGTAAGTAACACTATCATTAATAAGATCATCACGTCAAGGACTATATATCTGTAAAGTGATCTGCTATACACATGTCTAATCTAAATCTTTTTGCACATTTGAAACAATGTGTCTTCTCACCATTTATGAATCAATTAATTTGTCCAGCATAAGAGTCTTTGCTTCTATGTGATAAGAATTTGGGGAAATTGCATCATTTGTCTTAAACACACTTCAAAGTGCGCAAAAGTGTTTCAAAAAACCCCACAAACATTCAGCGGGCGTACACACACACACACACACACACACACACACACACTCCCTCCCTCATGCACAAAGACTGCAGTAACCTCTTGTTCTCTCACACAAGCACCGGATTGCCCCCCCCCCCCCCCCCCCATTGGTTACAAATGGAAACAAAGACTAAAATGCATATGTGGGAGGATGACAGCAAAGCAAAACAGCCCTTATGCATCACTCTGTCTTTCCAGGTGCCGATAGCGCTTAGAACAGCCACATTTCAGAGAATATATGTGTTAATCATCAGGAATCTCTTTGTATTTATACTGGTGGGAAATAATATCTATGATCATGTTGAACATGAGTAATGGCAGTATGGGACAACACTTTAGGTCTAAATGTGAATGCGTCTCCTGACTTTAAGAAAATGCTCTTGAAGCAAGTGCAGTAAACAGATTTAGGATCCAAATGTCAAGCAGTAAAATAAATGTCTGCCACTTTAAAGGACAGCCACTTCTCCTATAGAGGTCATCGAGATATGTACAGTGGAAGGCAAAAGGACCAGTGGTTCTGCGAAGGCACAAATCATAAAGTATTAAGAATGTGCCAGAGATTGCGCTGACGAGCAGAATCTCCTTCACGGACTGTAAAGGACAGCAGGCGATACACGTTTATGCAGACCCTGGGCCACAGGATTAAAAAGAAGATTGCCTCACAGAAACCCCAATGGCCCACCACGAGGAGAGCAATCAGCTTGCCGCAATGACATTTCCCCTGGAATTCCAACACAGGAGACAACAGAGATAGGGGCTGGCAGCTGTGTGTGTGTGAGAGATAGGGACACAAGTCTAAAATTAAACTATTTCTTAATTGGCTGCAAACTGAAATCCTTCATTTTTAATTTAATTATCTTCTTTTTGCACATGGTTTTCATTCGTTTCAGCTAGCACTGCCTGAGTCATTTGACGTACTATTAGGATTTTTCCCACCCGAACTGCTTGCTCCTTACATTTCGATCACATTAAATTTGAGCAGTCCAAGATTATAAATGGTTACACACACTAAAAGTTTTTGATATACAATAACTAGACATATATATATATATATAAAAACACTGTACCGTCAGTGGGTTACATGATCACAAACTGGAAACAAAATCATGTCAAAGGATGGTCTACAGTGTGATTAATTGTACAGCCATACTTGCTTATTGGGGGAAAAAGGAGATTATAAGAGCAGTGTGCCTTGTTGAAACAGGTGTATGACCTTCCCTGGAGAAGCTCTGAGTCAGGTGAGAGGAAAACACTGAGGTAATTAGAGGCTCAGTATACTGAATGGTAATGAGGCCTTTTCCCTGTTGCAGGGTCCGACAGTCAGAGGCCCTCCAGCTTTATTTATTCAAGTCTCCAGTGGGCCAGGCAGGGGAGGAAGGGCTTTGGGCCGCCATTGATTTCCCCTCTCCAATGCACCTTTTTTGAAGATCAATGAAACATGAAGGTATTTGTGTCCTCATTAAAAACTGTTTGCTCAGCAGATCGATGCAGGCTGAACCCCCCAGCTTGGTTTGGCTCACAATGCACCAACCTGAGGCATCACACCTGTTATGGTCTAGATTAAAGTACTTAAATACTTTACCTTGCTAATAGCACAGTATAAAAATAATCCAATAGGACTGAATGTCCTTCATCCAAAACTTAAAGATAACTAAGTGACAAAATATTTACAAAAGTAAAAGCACATTAATAATCCTGAAGCTTGGTTTGCCTAATGTTGTCTGTTAATGTGTCTTATAGCCTGCAAAAAGCATTCGTTTGGTTCATTCGTTCAACGAATATTCCCAGGTGGTTTCTACACAACGCTTGCAATCTTGTGGTTACCCAATACTGTTCACTAATGGGAGTGCTCACTAATGGGTTCCTGCGTGCTGATTTTTTAAACATACCTCCACAGAACATGTGGAGAAATTACTTAAAGGTGCAACTTTGCAATTTTCTGGTGAGTTTGAGCACATTGTTCTCGTAAAAAAAAAAAAAAAAAAAAAAATGACGACAAAAGAACATTCTTGGTGAGAATTTATAAGATTGTTCTCCTGTTTTCAGCAGCCAAAAATTATTTAACAGTATTATTCTAGGTGATTTTGGTATAAACTATAACATCCTGGCAACTTAACTTCAATAAAAAGTACAAAATTTCCCTCTGAAATATAGTGGAGTATAAAAATATAAAGTCATACACGTCAGCACTTGAGTAAATGTTCTCAGTTAATTTCTACCTCTGTAAAATTTGCGGCAAACATAAAATAAGACATGCTGCAAATCTAAATCACAGGGGCAGAATCTCATAACTAGCACTGGAAAGCACAGGCAAACTGTAGTATTGTTGACGATACTGGATGAGTTTCCATGCCCCCCCACCCCCCCACCAGTCAAAGTTCAGTAAAGACAATATAAAACAAGGCTATGGGTTGCATACTGACATTCTCAAGGGGCACAGGCCCACTCAAAAATAAGCTGACGTCTCCCTCTGCCATCTCCCTCAAGCATTTTTCTGTAACTTTATCTCACTCTTTTGACCTTTGACCCCACACATCTATGTCTCCAAGGATACTATCATTTGTAACTCTCGTGTAAACCGTCTCTGACCTAATCTATATCACCTCTCTCTCTCAATGGGTTTTCTTATATCTGCCTGAGTATGAATTACAAACACACACAGTCTTGAAAGACCATCTTATCACACATGAAATGTCAACTCAAATCCCCGACAGCATCTTGTTTCATTAGCAATGAGAAAATCCATCTGTTTGTAAATAGACAAATTTTAAGCCTTTCTCCAGATCAGGGGGCATATTTTTCTCCGGCACGCATGAGTTAACAGTTGCAAACTGTGGTTAATCACTCATGGATGCTCCTTGGTACTTTTGTCAAATACTCTGCTGCTCGTGAATTAAAACATGCTTACGCTCAGGTCACTGCACATAGTGCTAACTTAGCTGGTGGGAAGAGGCTCATCAGCAACTGTTGTAAATTCAGCTGCACAATTATGACAAAATGCTTAACACCGTGAGCTCATCTTAAGTGCAGCTGATTGATTTTTATTGCTTAATAAGAACTCACACGCTGCAGTTTTAACAATCATTGAGGATAAAACACAATAAAGCTGAAGACTTATTTCCTCTGGGGTCCTTCAACATACAACAAACATCAGACAAGCACATATGGGCGATCACTCCACAGGACCTTTAAATCAGTTAATCCTTATTTGTGCCATAGTGACACCTCACCAGTCGTTAAGCATTATGCAAGGAGGCTTAATTATCTGAATACATGTGTCAGTGTTGCTGGAGCTCACCACATGAACTCTCCCTGAACCAGCACAGTTGATGTGACTGGTTTAAACTTTCACTGTGGAGCTCGCCTTGTAACTCATCAAAACAGTACCAGCTGTCATGCCAAGTCATGATCTACATGCAATATTAATAAGAGGCATATGCGCACCAGTCAATTATCTAAATTATCAAAAAGCTTTACAGATACAGTCCATCACAGACGACTGTCAGGTCTGTGAGTGCAAGCAGGACGTTAAAATGCTAACATTAGAAAATGTAAGTCAGCTGAATGATAGTACTGTACAACAACAATGCTTTTTTTGGAGATAATGAGAACAGAAACAGAAAAACCACGCACCTCACTATGTTCACATTAGTCTTTAGGGAAGTGAGCTATATCCTTCCCAGGTTGCCTTATGCATCGCAGGCTAATGAACATCTTTTCCAGCCACCCAGCTCCTGCATCATTTTAAAACCGGACTTCACAGCAGAGGAAACCTTCACAGCTGCTCTTCCCCCCCTCAGGGTTCTAAATGGGTACACTCAGTGATTTGCTGCTGTAAAATGCTCCAGATAGAGCAGACTAAAAATGACCCACTGTGTACCTAGAGTGTTAGACACTGTAAAAGTCCCCTTTCACACATGTATCCCACGTCTACGCATCTTGCAGTAACACTGCAGGTGGGTCTGTCTTGTGCAGCACACGACAAAAAAACCAAATTCAAACACCGGAACACAAATCTTGACTTGGTTTTCAATCATTCTTATAAGTCAGTGAGATTTCAAAGTGAGCCTATTGCAACAGCTTCATGCCATGTGCTGTACATGCCGCCTGAGCCCACATACACAGCCCACTGCACTCACCATCCTTGCGGTGGTAGGTGATTTCCACCTTGCGCTCCTCTGAGCCCAGCAGCGCCTGGGCCACCTGGGCCACCGAGTGCCGGCTGGTAAACTGGCCGTGGAGGAAGTCACACGTGCACGGCTTCTGCATGACATCCGGCCTGGAGAAGCCGGTCATCTCACAGAAGCCGTCATTACAGTAGATAATAGCGCAGTTCTGTGCCCGGGCATTGGCTATGATGAATTTCTTATCTGTGAAGGGGTAAAGGAGAGATTGGGGAAGTAAGTGTTAGTTTGTTCATAGGCAGACCTATGCAAGACCAATGCTACTTTCACTTGTTGTTATTTAACATGTGGACATATCAATGCATACATTAAAACAATAAATACATTTACAGGGATATAAAAGAAATTAAAACATCTGACAAAAATTTCAATCCACCTAGGTGGGCGTAATGGGCTTACATGAGATTATCACTAACAGGCTGGATTGCTTCACTTGTTTATGCCAATATTGTCATCAGGAAAACCTTTATCGTTGCATCTTATTTATTCGATTGGGGTAGCATTCTGTTAGACATTTCATTTAATATAGAAGAATGCTAGGGAAGCCAGTTTTCTCACATTGTCAGCTGTGAAACTGACAATTCATGGCACAAGTGATGGTTTAATCCTTCGGTTTATTTAATAGGCATCCATCATGATTTGCAGCAACATAGCAATGCAAATAATCTATGATGAATAACCATTACTGGAGGATTCAATAAGGGCAAATACAGTATTTGAGAAACTGAAAGTGTTTCTCATGTGCAGATTTTTAAAACTACAATTTCCACTGGATCAGCAGAGTACAGCACTACAGAACTATAAAACAAACCAGGTGTTTGATATGGTACTAAGCACTATGGTAACAACTGGATAACTGTTCTCAGGATGCAGCAGGACAAACACAAAAGGCAGGCAGCACAACACAACGCACCCACACAGCACTGGACACCAGGGAAAGGTACTCACTTTGTCCTTCGAATTTCCGAATAATTACTCCCAAAAATGTGTTTTGAGGCGCAACATGACCCCTCCGGACAGGCATGGTTCCCTTCCAAAAATAATTGTGATTAAAAAAAAAAATCTTTGAGAGCAAGCCGGTCCCCCCAAACGCCTTCCTTCAAGTTCTAGCGGGTGACAACCGAAGCCAGAGAGGCTCCCCGTTTCCTTTGTCACCAGTCAGTCATCCTCGTGAGAAAATCTCCCCCCTCCGTTTTTTTCCCCCAGCTCCTCGTGCTTCCCTTATTTCAACTCCGTTGCGTGCGCGCTTGAACGCATCGCAGAGGCTTCCCAGCACTCTTAGCTGAGGTGAAGCAGAAAAGAAAGGAGTCGGTAAACCGCAGTTTTACCAACATTTCACCGTCGCTCCTTGAAAGCACTGTGCGCGTTTAGTGCCGGCGCGTGAGTGCATGTACGCGCGCGCGCAGCTCTATTGTTGTGAAGGGAAGACTGATGGTCTCCGAGACCAATGGTTGAGAGGACGACAGACCGGAGAGGCGCGACACCAACACTGCGAAGGGAAAAACCCACATGGATGCGTAGACAAAGCGGAGAGATAGAAGAGGCAGGGCTGGTAACGGAGATTACTCTAACGCGTTACAGCGATGATTACTCCGTTTTGTTTCATGAGCGGGCGTGTAGTAAGCAGCGTAAACGATTTGTAATTGCCTTCTGTCAGACTTAGTCGAATTATCAATAGATTTCCTGTTCCCTCCGTTCATTTCCGACCCTATCTGTAGCCTATAGCGTTTAAAACTCGAGACTTTGGTTCTATGATGCGCCTGACATAACAAAAAGGCTGTAAACCAAGACGGCGAGTAATGAAACATTACTTTTGAGATAAAAGAGGGGGTTGCTTTTGGCACACCGGTGACTTTTCTCTGAGTCACGAGCCCCAATAGTGCTGACGTCAGGGCAGCGAACGCAGGTGTATCGCATATCTCATTAACGGGGAGCCCCTTGGCCACGATCCGGTTGGACGGTCGTGTTTTAAATGTCCTCTCTAGCCTCGAGTTTATGCCTCGCGTTGCACAACGTTGAGTGCATGAAATGTGACAGAGCTCCACCGCCTCGGAGGAAAAGAGGCCCGCTGCCGCACGAGCAGGCGCTGGCCATGGTGCTGTCGAGGCTTTTCACTTCTCCTCCCGCTAAGTGTATCAGTACAACATTTTGTAAGCGGCTTAAATATGGAGTGAGAAGTCAGGGGATCGGCTCAGCGTCCTGCTCGAGGACACTTCAGCAGGACATAGGACAGCTGGTCGAGGACGGGCTAATTTTACTTTTACGCATATTTTCTATAAGTCGATCATATGTTTTGTATGTAAAATCCCTCCACGTACCTAAAGCAAATATAAACTTTAGCTGTCAGATCAATAGACCTATATCCCTCTGAGATGTACTGGGGTAGGAGTATAAAATAGTACACGTAACTCAAAGTTGTGCAGTACTTGAGTAAATGTACTTTCAACAGCTGGATATTTTCTGGATTCCTGTTGGGAAATTGCATTAAATCAAAGAGCATTAAATCATTCATTGTTCATGGTTTTATTTAAGGATCCACATGGGTGTGCCTCTTGTTTTCCCAGGGTCCTGAACATACAAAATGCAACACAGATATACAATAAGAAAGTACACATTCAGTGTATTTCCCTCCCAAGTGTGTCACGACACACGCAAGCAAACAAACGCACCCAGATTCTGGTGGAACATTTGTCCTGGTCTTACACCAGCAAGTGGCATATGCTGCTTTTTAAGACCTTTTGTTTTAACAATGACGACAGTAGACTCCATGTGAAGGCAGCCTTTGTTCAGCACTTTTTTCTCCTTGGCATACACCGACAGCTTGCGGCTGTGATGTGCGGACTGCCTTTTAGATTCTATTGGCTGCTTTAGCACATTTATCAGTACTACTCTGCATCTTGTTGCCCACATACAATTTATCATCACAGTTAACAGTGTAATGATATTTGGAACCATAAAACAAGTTAATCCACAACACAAATCTTTTTTTCTCTCTCTTTCATTTCCTCCACTCTTCTCTCTCTCTGTCTCTGTCACACAGCAAGCACGACTCACTGACTCACAGCGGTGAAACAGTAAAGGGTAGGCTTGCCCTTGAGTCATATTCGCATTAAAGGGAGTGACAACATTAATTAATTGTGTTTTACCTCATATTTTGCTCAGGGAATGGACAGCTGGTAGTGACAAACACCATTTTTACACAGAGGAGAACATTATTATTATTATATTACAATCAGTTTCTTTATACAGAATCTCCTCTTCTACAAGACATACAAAACCTTCCCACAGACAATTTCAAATGTCATCTAAAAGAAATATGTTTGCTCTGAAAAGCTCACTCTACCCAGACCTCAATTTTAGTATTATTAGTTACAACATAAAACCTTTGGGAAACTGGGGAAACAAACACATTATTGCCTTGGGGCCAAAGGCCACATTGAAGCTACAGAACGCTACAACCTACAGGTCCATTTCAGCACGGTGGACAGCTCCCGGGGCTCAACCCTTTGATTCTCCTGTGATGTTTGTGGATTCGAGTGAAATGTCTCAACAGCTAATGGAGGGATTGAAATTTTCTATACACCTTTATATCCCCTTCTGAATTAATCGCAATCTTTTTGATGACCCCCTGACCTTTTATCTAGCGCCATCCTCAGGTCAGAATGTTACTTTGTCCAATACTTTTGATTTATCACCAAATACTTGGAAAACTAAAGTCATTTCAATCAGCCTCAGCTGTCCTTTGTGTTTACCTCCAAAGTTATGTTAGGAGGGTTGCTAGTATGCTAACACACTAAACTAAGATGATTAACGTTACCTGCTGAACAACAGCATGTTAACATTGCTATTGTTAGCATGTTAGCATACTGAAGTTTGCATGTAGCTCAGATATCAGCTCAGATCACAGCGACTAGCATAGCTGTAGACTCTAACTTTTGTTGTCTGAGAATTGAGATCTAGGTTGGGACCAAACACCTGAAACGTATCACATTCCCATCAGTCATCAGGCTATCATGCTAAACTACAATGGTGAACAATATTAATAAATATGTACAGTACTGTGCAAAAGTCTGTGTGGGTGTGGGAAAATGCTGTAAAGTAAGAATGCTCTTGAAGTTCACAAAATGCAAAGTGAGTGAACAGAAGAGAAATCTAAATCAAATCAATATTTGGTGTGACCACCATAGTCATGGACTTCAAAACATTACCAATTCTTCTAGGTATACAGTTTTTGATGGAACTCTGCAGGTAGGTTTGCCCAAACATCTTGCAGACCTGCCCACGGTCCCTCTGTGGATTTAGGCACCCTCAGTTGCTTCACCCTCTTCATGTAATCCCAGATGGACTCGATGATGAGATCGGGGCTCTGTGGGGGCCAGGACTTCTTGTTCTTCTTTATGCTGAAGATAGTTTCTTATGACTTTTGCTGTATGTTTGTGGTCATTTTTATACTGCAGAATAAATTTGGGACCAATCAGATGCCTCCATGATGGTATTGCTTGATGGATAAGTATCTGCCTATACTCAACATCGAGGAGAACATTCATTCTGACCAAATCCCTAACAATCATTTGCAGAAATGCAGCCCCAAACTTGCAAAGAACCTCCACAGTGCTTCACTCTTGCCTGCAGACACTCATTCTTGTACTGCTCGCCAGATATTCAAAATTGTGACTCATCAGTCCAGACCATGTGCTGCCATTTTTCTGCACACTAGTTCCTGTGTTTTTGTGCATAGTTACTCTGCCTTGTTTCCATGTTGGAGGTTTGGCTTTTTGGCTGCAAGTCTTCCATAATGGCCACTTCTGACCAGACCAGATGGGTGTATCAGGGTTCCAGTGTTTTCTGCCAGTTTTGAGCTTTCCATAGTGAAGGGAAGTAAGCATGATGTGTCTTTTATCAGCTGAGGTAAGTTTCTTTGGCCAAATGCTGCATCTACGGTCCTCAGCGTTGCACGTTTATTTGAGCTTCTTCAAAAGAGCTTGGACAGCACATCCTGAAACAACTGTCTGCCTGTGAGAGACCTTGCTGATGCAGAATAACTACCTCGTGTCTTGTTGCTTTACTCAGTCTTGCTATGGTGTATGACTTTTGACAGAAAACTGTCTCAACCTCACCTTGTTAGCTGAGTTTGGCTGTTCCACACCCAGTTGTTTTCCTCCTACACAACTGTTTCTGTTTCAGTTAATGATTGGGTTTCACCCTGCCTATATAAACATTAAAACATTAACTTTTTAAACTGCAAGTTTATTAGGGGTTCATTTTGGGATATTTGAGAAGTGACAGTAAAACCAGTGTGCTCACATCTTCTTATTTCCAAGTGCTCCTTGAATATCTCTTACCAGATGCTATTGACAAGGAGGCTCTGTGGTTAATGGGAACTGATAGCTATAAATAGATAAGACTGTATTTACTCTCCATTTATCTGGAACATCACTTATCTGTTTATGCCCTTTATGAGACTGCATCATACAGAGCAGGTTTATGAGTCATGGTAAGAGAAGGAAATTAAGTTTTATCCCTAAGATGCTGTTAAAGGTGTAATGAATAATTAAGTGGAAATTTAACAATGCAAGAGGGATGTGGTTCATAGTGGAAATACACGAGGGAATTCTGAAGTAAAGCTAGAGGGTTTGAGAATATGTCAGACGAGATAATTGTTGTGGTTATGAGCTCAGCTGTATTCCATGAAGTGCAACCAAGTGATCATTTCTATCAGACTAAAATATTAAGACCCTTTGCCCCCTCAGAAAATATTGTCTGTCGGGAGACTCACTTTGTCCATCAATTTTATGGTCAAATGAATCTATCCAGTGATTGTGTTCTGCAACTGTAATAATAAAGCTTCACTTTATAGACACAAACTGCGAGGATAAAATCTTTACATTTGTAGAAGAGTAGGCAAACATCAGCACTGTATAGATAGTCTGTTGGTCAACGGTGTATATTTGCATTTAAAATTTCAAATCAAGCTGAGTTAGCAGATTTACTTATCGCAGCAAATCTGTAAAAGTACTTTTACAATTTTAAATGCTTCTTGTGACTCAGCCTCAAAAGCCAAAAACTATACAATCTGTCTCAAGCAAAGGCTTTGTTTGAGCAAGGATGGATGTTATTCTCTGGGTTTTGGTAAGACATGCCTAAGTTGATAAAAGACAGAGCTGAAACCTCCACTGTATAATTAGAGCTGAGTCAGCAGGTGAATGATTACAACTTTGCCCTACGGGATCATCATCATCATTATGATGTATTGGCGAAAGAAAAAAATGTTATTACTGTAGAGTGTGACCTTGCCCTGGGCCCTGCTAATTAGATAGACTAATACCGAACACTACAAGCTCCCGACAGGCTGTCACCTATGTAGCAAAGAGGTCCAGATTCTGCATTGCATGTGGTAGAGTGATCCAGTGATACAGAAGGCGTGAATAGTGAGACTGTCCTTCAACCTGAGTTTAAACCCCCTCGACTGCGAACATCCATCCTGCTGAACTGTCTAAGAGCAAGCTCCTGTGATGTGAATCTCTGACTCCTTTCCTCCTCCACTGTCAGCGCTAAATCATTCAAAATCTGCTTTGTCATGCAGAATTTAGGCATGCTGTCGCTGTCAAATAGTCCCTGTCCACTTTATGTGACACAGGATTTAAATGTTAGGACCTACAAGGGGTTTATGCTCCAGATTTTGTGAGTGTAAGAAAGCTAACATGGTTAATTACATCGGTTGCCAACAAACCAGCAGTGATTTCCCCCGGTGGTTGTAAAGGATCTCTATTACTATGAGGCATTTTCTCTGACCTCAGCCCATGAGAGAGGCTCAGTGTACTGTAGCCTGTGCAGTTGTCATTAAATAAACCCCGCGCGGCCTAATCCACTCAACATCATCTCATTCACGAGTACAGACAGGAATGAGTAGTAGGTGTGGATGTGAGTTGAGGCATATTTGTATGTATATGGGGCATCTTGATATCTCTTGACTGCATAGCAGTGTCCAACAGAAACCCTTTTTGAGAGACAGGTTTCACCAGTCTAGAGCCAACACACACATTTATTAATGCAAGAATATTATATTAATATTATATATAATGTTATTATATTATATTACATATTTGCCATAGTATGAGCAAAGTGTAGGGATACAGTGAGGCAAAGGAGAAAAGAATATGTAGCTATAAACACAATTGTATTTCTTATGCTTTGTAGTCTTAGCATCATGTAGTGTTACTCATGCGATGGTAGTGATGCCCATTTCTGGTTTCTGAACAAAATCAACCGCTCTTCCTGACTCTCCAAACAGAATGAGAGACTAGAGACTGTTAAAACCTTTCTAATGCATTATGGTGCTTGTTTTCACCTCATAATTGTCCTATAAAGAGTTTTACAATGGCTCTGAGGATCAACACATTGCAGCTTAGGAAAACACATGCAAACTGATAAAACACAAGCAAATTAAGAAAAATCTTTACTAATTTGACAACATATTTAGAAACAATTGCTGCAAATAGAG